AACATATTGATTAAATAATTTGTCATATTTTCTGCAATAATTGGTTTTAACGTTACAAATAATGCTTATTATAGAACAGGCGACAATCTTTTCTTTCTGGGAAAAGGTTAATAAAAAAAAAAGTTTGAAAAAAGGATTTACAGACTTATTGGAAAACGTTTAAATCAGAAATAATAACCACTATTACTTAAACCATGTAGAGTTGGTTTAAAATTAAGACGTAAAGAAACAAGATATGAATAAACTCCTTTGTTTGTAGGCGAATGTTTTAAAATATATCATTAGAAAGAATATACACTCTACTTTTCATAAAAGAAAGTTGCAACGAGATATATTATTTTTATCATTTTTTTTTTTTTTTTATTATTTAATTTTGCCGTAGAAAGTTACAATTTATAAAATAACATAAATAATAAAACAAATGGCTGGAGCAAGAAGAAGACATCAGTTTGTCTTATCACCGAGCCCCATAGTGACTTCATTACAGGTCGTTTTTTACAATAATATATATAAAATCGTGATAAATTGTTTGTGATGAAATATGTAAAAATGTGAAAAACTACGTTTTACAATTTATATAACCGTTTATATATAAATTCGTTTAGTAAAATAAATTTAGAACAAGTAAAAGTTAAAACAAATAAAAGAAATAAATTGTGCTAGTTTATTTTTTTACTAAAAAAGAAAAAGAAAATTTAAGTCCGTAGATAATAAAAAACGCTTTGATTCAGATTTGAACTGTTCAAGTGTATTTCTTTTGATAGTAAGATTAGCTTAGATGACTATGTATTAATGAAAAGTATAAACTTCTTAAGAAAATGATATTTAGGAAAGGTTTTGCTTTATACATTAATGAAATATTTCTTGAGAGCTTTCTCTCTAAAGTGTTTATATGGAGCTTCCACGACAAATTTTCATCCAAGACCACACCTAACGGGTGTTCACTTGAAATCCGGACTGACTTTAAGTCAATATAAATCTGACATAATATATTGCAATTGTACCATGTGATACATTATTTTAAAGCGTTTAAATTTAGCTTTAATATGCTACATTTATATTTAGATTGAATAGTTATTCAAATTGAAAATGAAACCTAAACAAAACGACACTCGAAAACGTGTGTACAACTTCTATATTGAAAATAAAGAAAAAGGCAAAAAGTACACCGTAGATCATTTTGAAAAAGAAAAAATTGCCAGATCGATCATCTATGATATAATTAAACGTGCTGATGACGATTCTAAATATCTTAGACGTCCTGGTTCAGGAAAAAAAGCTCTAAAAATGACCAAAAAAAAAGTACCAGCGTTAAAATCAATGTTTGATCATCATGATGGCGTTTCTTATAGGAAAGCAGGTAGAAAATTTAGAATATCAGCTTCTTATGCCCATAAAATTATTCAGACAAAATCAAAAATCAAGAAAAGAAAGAAGAAAAAGATTCCACATCGAAATAATGATCAAAAACTGATGGCAAAAACAAAGTGTGGTAGATTATATCGAGCTTTTAGCAAACTTGATTGGATCATTGATGATGAATCTTATTTTACTCTTTCTCATTCATCAATCAACGGAAACGATAACTTCTACACAAGTGACATAAACCTCTGCCCATCTAGTGTCAAATATTATACAAAGCGAAAGTATGAACCCAAGCTCCTGGTCTGGGTAGCCTTTTCTGTAAAAGGAATGTCAAAAATTCTAATCCGTCAAAGTGGTCTTGCAATCAATCAAAAAGTCTACTTAGAAGATTGTATGAAGAAACGTCTTATTCTTTTTATTAAAGAGCATCATCAAGGCAATCAATTCGTATTTTGGCCAGATCTGGCGACGTCTCATTATGCTAAATCTGTTCAAGCTTATTTAAATGGACAAAACGTCAGATTTGTACCAAAAGAAGATAACCCTGCAAATGTACCAGAAGCAAGACCTATTGAGGATTTTTGGTCAATAATAAAAGGTATTTAGTTTACAAAGATAATTGGCAAGCAGAAAATTTAGAACAACTAAGGAAAAGGATAGTGTATTGCTTCAGCAAAGTTGATATCAATCTTGTACAAGAGTTTGCAAAGGGTATTTTATCAAGAATTGATTCTATAGGAAGAAAAAACTTAATTGAAAATAAATGAAGTATCATATTATAGAGAATTAAATGCTGATTTTAAATCATATTTTATTTTTTTAAGTTGATAAAAAATAAGGGAGTTATGACCCTTTAAAGTCAGTCCGGATTTCAAGTGAACACCCGTTAGAAAGTCTATAAAATTTTCTCTTTTTATATTAGTATTATTTATTTTAAGATAAGGTAGTTTAAGAGGAATATTTTCGTTTTTATTTAGTTTATGAAATAGGATGAACTTGGTTTTTATGACATTCAAAGAGAGTTTGTTACACCTAAACCACTCGTTTATTTTATGTAATTCTTTGTTAACTAAGTTAAAAAGTGTCCTAATGTCTCTATGCGAATAAAACAAATTGGAGTCATCCGCAAACAAGATTAAACTTAATAAGTTTGATGTTGAATATAAATCATTTATATAGAGTAAAAATAATAATGGTTCCAAGATCGAGCCTTGGGGAACCCCGCAAGTTATGGCGCTATTTGTTATTTTTGTTGTTTCATGCTGAATATATTGCTTTCGGTTTGATAAATAATCTTTAAACCAAAGTAAGTTATTATTTTTTACTCCATACACTTCGAGTTTTTTTAGAATGTCGTGATTTACGGTATCAAAAGCT